GGGGGAGGGAGAGAAAGCAAGCAAGCAAAAAAGGGAGGCAAGAGCAAAAGAAGGATGAGGAAGGGAATAGTGAGAAAGGGGGAGAGGAGGGAAGGAGAGAGGGGAAGGAGAAGCAAGAAGGGGAAAGAGGAAGGGCAAAGGAGAAATGAAAAGAACTAAAAAAAGTAAAAAGTACTTGTTTACTCACCTTTGATATCTCTATGGACAATCATATTACTGTGCAAATAATAAACACCCTCTAGAATCTGACGGGTATATTTTCTAGTCACATTCTCAGTAAGAGCGCCATATGCCTTCAATTGGTCCTTAATTGAACCCTAGGATAAAAAGAAAACAGTAACAAATGTGATTTAAAACCAAATCTATTGGAGGGGGGACCAAGATGGCGACAGGGCAGTAGGGAAACGCCACAGCTCACTCCAACCAAAAAGAGAGTTTGAGTTCCAACGCTTAATCTCCCCAAGAGACCAACAACAACAAAAAGACTAACACTCAGAGAAAAACCAGAGGCGGAAAATAACAAAAAAAGAGAGGAAAAGAAGAATTTCAGAACAGAGAAAAGCGAAGACCCCTCCCCCAACCTTTACTGGCCGCAGGGCAGTGCGCCAGCCGGCGGGGACTGCCAGAGCCCCAGAGTCACAGGGGGCCGCTTGCAGATCACCAGGTACCGGTTTGCAGAACAGCAGATCGCCAGGAACAGAGAAACCTACCAGCCGGGAGTCTCCACGAGGATCCCACCCCCACCCCTCACTCTCCACCAGAGCGGAGAGGCTCCATCCTGCCAAAGCCACTCGGCACCAGCAGCACGACAAAGGGACCTGTTGGCAGACCACCCGATCACGATCGATCGCAACGACCCAGCGGGGCCGCCCGGGCCCCAGAGGCACAGGGGGCGGCCTGCAGATCACAACCCGCGAAGAAGCCGCCTGAGCATGGACACTTTTGACCCGATACCTTTGACAGAGGCAGAGACAGAAAAGAATCACACAGAGCTACTACCGCCCAACACAGCCCGCAAACACCCCAACTGAACTCAGATTGCAACAACAACTGACGACCTACACCGCACAGAAACAACCAGCTCCAGGGTGAGTACCCCACAGGGGACAGTGTATCCTTCAAGGGAGACCAGAGCTGGAGGGAATCCCCAGACCCTGACCTAGACTCCCTACCCCAACACCCGGACCACAGGACCCACTAAAACTGGGAACTGTTCCAGCCCGTGGAGCACACTCTGCTGGCCAGGCCAGAGCAAGAGTGCCCCTGGAAGGAAACTTAAATGCCCAAGCCAGGAACAGCGCCCCTGGGTCAAGACTACCAACAGTACAAGAAATTTGAACTGTGTCCCCCAGGCTGCATAACCTAGGTGGTATACACATCAGCACAGGCCTAACGAGCGCGCTCCAGGCTGGGGCCGGAACCAGGCCCAGGGATCCGGCGCCTGAACAATACAACCAACTCCTCCCAACTGAAGTAAAAAGCTGAGCATACACCTCAACAGAGGGGAGAAAACCAGGAAACAACACTCCCCGGGAAGCATCCCTGTGACAACAAAAGACCTGGAGGCCCAGGACAAGAGAAGCCCAAACCCCACCAAAACTCCACCCATATACCCTAGGCTGGGAATTGGGCAACACAGGCTGCCAGCACCTGATAGTAAACAGGAGCTCAGGCTGTTAAGGCGGCTCAGCAATAGAATGATACTCTTGGATGTATGAGGCCCTGGATCTGATTCCTCAGCATCACAGAAGCAAAAAGGGTCAGAAGTGGTGCTGTGGCTCAAATGGTAGGGTGCCAGCCTTGAGCTGAAGAGCTGAGGGACAGCACCCAAACCTAGAGTTCAAGCCCACATCCAGCCCAAAACAAAAACACATCAGGAGCCCATAGCAGACTCCAGTATTTGGGAGAATGCATCCAGAGCATCTGATCTTCACAAGAGCACCCGTAGGAGCAAACACAAGCAGTCTAGGCTGCTCAACCCTTCCAAAGGCAGGAACTGCCAGCAATCTACAGCAGAGAGCTGAGAATCCTAAGTAAGTCAGAATAGCAGCTGGAAATAGGCTCCCAACAGAACCCAGA